GGGCAGCAGTGTGCAGTTATAAGCCCATGCGTCTCAGTAAGCCAGTCACAGATTCAGGCAGATTTCTGGCTGCAAGTCCCAAGTTGAGCTCCCTGACCTCCTGCAGGGTTGAACTCTGCCAGGTTCTACTGCAGGTTCCAGCTGCCTTTCCCCTGAAAATAGTCCAGGTTGTGATGGGAGATGATGATCCCTCCAGCTTACCAAGCATGGTGGTTTGGTGTGCCTTTATTGCAGAGATTCTCTTCACATTTCCAGTGGGCTTCAGTTTTCATTAGGGAGCCTGAGAGAGGGCCTCTCTCTGTTGTTCACTTCTGTAGCTCAGGACAGTGGCCTTTATGCCTCCCTGTGCTTCTGTAGTGTGGCTCCAAGTAGCTGCTAAGCTGGAGGCTTGTGGGTGTGCCTGGGGGGTTCCTCACCATTTGAGTCTCCTGGTCGCAAGTGGGTGGTGAGAGCCGGACTGAGCAGGGTGCACTCAACCTGCACCTACTCTGCCTGTGAGCATGGATAAGCTGGAGCAAAATTTTCTCTTTTTATTATGACACGGTCATTTATATTGGGGCCCACCCTAATGACCTCCGGTTAACTCGACTGCTTTTGTAAAGACTGTCTCTGAATAAGGTCACATTAGGGCCAGGGATTTAGCTCAGTGGTTTCGCCACCTGCTGCACAAGCGCAAGGACCCGAGTTCGATCCCTGGTACCAAAAAAAAAACCCAAAAAAACAAATAAGGTCACATTTACAGATATGTGGGTTAGAACTTCACCATATGAATTTAGTGGGTTGGGAGGGGCTCACAATTCAGCTCATAACAGTCATGAAGAACAAGCCAGGGCTTTGGGCCATCTTTGGCCAATATCAAGCTAAGCCAAAGAAATGAACCCAAGAGTGAAAGACACAAGAGAGAAGGAAGATCAGAGGAGAAAAGAGGGAAATGTTAGGTTTTTGATGGAGGGATGTAGTCCCATTCCCACACTTAGTGCTAATTGGCCCCTGCTGCAGGGGCAGGGATGGGCTGCAGGTGGGTTTGCGAAGGTTTTAAATGCATCTCATGGGGGTGACTAAGTCCCTGGCCCCTTGACAGCACCTCACATGTCAAGTATTGCTGAGAGCAGAGGAGTAGCTGTGCTCCTATGAAGTCTTGCCAGACACTGAAAATACTGGCAATTGCAGAAAGTCTGCTTTGGTTTCCTTGTAAGCTTAAAATGCAAGCGTGTCCTTGTCAAGAGGTGATGTGGTAAATGAATACTTTTATAAAAGAAAGAGCCCCCAGATTAAATCTCCCCAGGTTTTTATACAGAAAAAGTAGAACTCAGACTCTGACAACAGGTGTCCTTAGGAAACAGGTCTGTCCTAAAGCAGTCTTTAGGACACCATGCCCTCCTGTGTCTTTGTGGCCACTTTCCATTGTCCTGTGGCCTTTGCTTTTACCAGTTCACCCAGTGTGCTAAAAAAGTACCCAGAGGGAGGAGAGGTCTCAGATCTGCATTCCTGGTTGGGGAATAAACTGGCTGTCCTTCCCTCCTTGTCTTCATTGTCCATTCTTTCTGTTGCCCTGGACTCTGTTTCTTAGCCACAGTCATTGCTGGGGGCGGGGGGAGTCCATGTTCCCTCACCAGGTCCCCAATCCAAACCCTGAATCCCAGGCAACACAGAAGCAGAAGTGCACTATCCTCCATCCTCACTGGGGAGGGGTACTTTGGGAGCATAGGAAACGGACAGCACCCTCACCCTTTACCCTGAATAAAAGAGCATCAGCCCTTCTGCATGTGAAATAAGGGGCTTTGTGTTTTTAGGGGAGTCAGGCCTGGGAAGTAGCACGAAGCATATTTTTGATGCTGCATAGATTTCCCCTGCAGCTGCAATTCATTTCTGTTCTCTCTAGGTCTGCACGGTGTGGATAATGGAATTTTAATATTTGACAAGGTTCGGATACCAAGGGTGAACCTGCTGGACAAGTGAGTAGTTTTCTCCTAAATGACCACAGATGATGTAGTTTCTCCCAAGTGAGGCCTGGTTCTTCGGTCTCATGGGCTGCAGGCCCAGAGATTTTCTCCTACCTTCTCCTAAAGTTTACTGACAACACATTTGAAAAGGTAGAGAAGCAAATAGAAAAAAATTTAAATTCTCCAACATGCTCTTTTTCAGATATAATAATTATTAGACTTCAATATATGTCTTTTCAGACTTTTTTCCATGCCAACATAGCTACTGGATAGATAGGTTAGATTTTTACCAAATAAGATCCACTTATAGATGCTCTTTTTTAGACTTATAATTTACACTTAACATGATATATCAGTTTTTATGCAACAATGAACACACATAGGCATTATCATTTTTAATAGCACCATAAAAGTCTGTTAAATAAATGGGCTATAAGTTATGTAATCAACCCCTTGTCGCTGGGCATTTAGGTTGTTTTCTTTTTCTCCCCTACTATAAACTGATCAGTGTTGTTGCCTCCTTTGTGGGTGGCCAGAATTAAGACATCTCCCTTCAGCTTGGGAGGCTGTTAAACCACTGCTGCTTGGAGGAATAATTCCGGGGTGCTTGTTGTCGTTTCCCAGTGTCTCTCAGTGAGGCCAAGGTGAGTTCAACAATGAGGTGAAGGCTGCTTCCTCAGGTGTGTGCAGGGGTGGAGGTCCAGGGGTTGATTAATGATGTTCTTTGCAGAGACTAAGAAACAACAATTATCTTTGATTTTTCTTAGAAGTGGTTCATGAATCCTCTAAAAATCCTGAGCCACAATCATATTTAAATATCTGGCAAAGCCAGCAATTAGGGTATCAATAAACAGCTCTTTCTCCTTGCCTTCCTATGGATTACTTTCAAGCACTTTGCTCCTTTTTTGTTTTTGTTGCCTGCAAGTTCTTCTCAGCAGATAAACGTGGTAGCCAATGCCAAAAATTTGAGAAAAATGATGGGAAACAAAGTGAGAATGGACCAAATTCTGTTTGTTTTTCTCCCCTGTGAATTGGTAGGAAATAGAACAGAAACAATAAAAGCATGTTTGAAATTAGCCTAAGGAAGCCCCCTGGACCCTTTCAGTAGCCACCAATATCCATGAGAACAGGTCTGAGGATCACCTGCTCTCCCCGGAGGAGTCTGTGCATTTCCCAGTCACCTGTCATTGTCACCCACTCTGGGGGATGGGGAAGAGGAAGGAAGCTGCAGATGGGGAACTCTCGGTACACCACCTCCCCAAGGAGATCTTAGTGGCTTGGTCAGTGCTGTGTTACAGGCTGAACCAATGCTGAATGTTCATCCAATGCATTAGATTAGAAAATCAATTTAAAGAGAGGGAAAAATGACAGGGAGCTACATTGTTTGTAGAAAACTTAAGGATATTTAAAGTCTTTCTTTGATCACAAAATTTGATTTTAACATCATTTCATTGCATTTTAGCTGCCCCCTGCCATGTATATAGATCATCAATGTCAATAGAGGGGTTTTGAGGTTTGAGGAAGGAGCTCCACTTTGGAGTATCAGTTCATGACCTGTTAAAAAGTGAGCTAGTAAATACAGTCCTATCAAGATCCCAGCTGCCTTCTTTTTCTTTCTCTTTTTTGCAGAAATAATAAACTGATTATAAAATTCATACAGAAGGGTAAGAAATCCATAATAGCCAAAAAATCTTGATAAAAAACAAAGTATGAGAACTCACACTTGTGATTGAAAACTTACTACAAAGCTATAGATTGCATGGTGGTATTTGTGTAAAGATAGATATATGAACAATGGAATAAAGAGTCTAGAAATAAATTCTCACATTGATGGTCAAGTAATATTCATTTAGAGTGCCAAAACAATTTAATGAGGGAAGAATAGTGTTTTCACTATAATATAATAGTGGTACTGGGGCAACTGGATCTTCAAGGGCTGGGGATGCAGCTCAGTGGTTAAGCACTTGCTTAGCGTGTGTGAGGCCTTGAGTTCCATCTGTAAAAGCATGAAGTTGGACCCATACTTCACACCATATACAAGAATTAACTCAAAGAATTCTCAACCTAAATGTATGAGTTAAAACTATACAACTCTTTGAACACAGGTTTAAATTTTTGTGACCTTGATTTAAGTGTTGATTTATTAGATGTGACTCCAAAAGCATAAGCAAAGAAAGTAGGTAAATTGAACTTCATCAAAATTAAAAAAAATATTTTATGCATCAAAGAACACTATGAAGAAAATAAACAATCTAAAGGGTGGGAAAATATTTGTAAATCAAATACATCATAAGGATATAGTGTCGAGAATATAAAAAGAACTATTACAGCTGAACAATAGAAAGAAAAATAGCCCAATTAAAAAGTGAACAGAAATCTGAATAGACATTTCTCCAAAGAAGATATACTAATTACTAGTAAACACATGAAAAATGTTCAAGATCTTTATTATTAGAAACATACTAACCAAAATCACAAGGAAAAAACATTCTATACCCACTAAGACAGCTATAGTAAAGGAGACACTTCCAAATGTTGGCGAGGATATAGAGAAATTAGAATCATGACACAGTCCTGGTGGTAATATAAAATGTCACAGATTTGAAAAACCACTTAGCACTTCCTCAAAAGTTTAAAGTTACCAGATAACACAACAGTTCTACTCCTAGGTATCTATAAAAACATTGCCCACAAGATAACTGAAAATATATGTCTATTCAAAAATTTGTGTGCAGATGTTCACACCATAATTATTTATAATATCCATAAAGTGAAACGACCCAAACTTCCATCAATTGTCAACTGATGAATGGATAAACAAAATCTGGTATATTCATACAATTAAATATTATTAAGCCATAAACAGAAATAAAGTATTGATACATACTACAACATAGATGAACTTTGAAATCACTATGCTAACTGAAAGAATCCAGACGTAAAGATGATGTATTATATGATTCCATTTATGAGAAATGTTGGGAATAGGCAGATGCATGGAGAAAGAAATAAATTAAGGGCTACCAAGGACTGGAAGGTGAGGATTATGGGCAGTGACTGCTAATGGTTCTTTGGGAGGTGAAGAAGGTATTTTGATTTAAGTGCAGTGGTCACACAAATTTGTGTGAATGTTCTAAAAGCCTCTGAACTGAACTCTTTACAGGACTGAACTCTGTGATGTGTGAATTATGTCTCACTTAAAAAGTGGGCCAGTGTGTGGTGAGAACAGTGAGGTTCTGACACTGGTGTTGTGATGCTGGTCCTCACATCTCAGGGGCCAAAGCTGGGCAGCAGATCAATGGTGGCAGAAAATCTGCTCTTACTTCTCATGAGTCCAGCCTTTCTCAGCATTTCCTGGGGAGGAACTCACAAATGGGAATTCATATGATGTGATCTGGCTTCTTTGTAGCATGTTTATCAGCACCTCATTTCTTGTTATGGTTGAATAATACCCCATTGTGTGAATATACCTGATTTTGCTTATCCATTCAGCAGTTGATGGGTGTTTGGGTTGTTTCCACTTGGGGGAATATTATGAATAATTGTGCTATGAGTCAAGCCTTTCTTGGGGGAAGGCACTTTGCCACTCTGCCCTTTGTCTCATGGGGGAGGTTTCAGGATGCGGAAATGTGTGCACTTCCCCATGTGCCCACCTGACTTCCTTTCTAGTGGTGCCATGTCTTTATTTTTTGTTAAACTCCACCTTTTTTCCAATTCAGCTTGTTTTACTTTCCCCAGATTGGGCTCTGTGGCTCCAGATGGACAGTACCATTCACCAATTAAGGACAAGAGTGCAAGGCTCAATGCGATGATGGTAGCACTGACCCCTTCAAGATTAGCAGTGACTTTCCAAGCCATTGGTGCCATGAAGGTCACTGACTCTGATTCATTTGACCTTCACACTGTTTATTCTCTGTGTGTTCTGGGGATGGGTAAAATGTCAGAAGCTGAGCTTCTTGAGCCATAGTTGGTGTAAAGTGGTTACATGCCAGGGGGAGCAGTTGACTGTAACACAGAACATTTCTGCATCCTTCTAAGATAGTATTCCATCCATCTGCTCCCCAGATGTGTGCTGTTATCATGGTAGTAGAGCATGAGCATTGTAGCAATAGAGCCACACAAGATGACCCAGGGAGGCTGGGTCGTTCAGGATGAACACATCTACAGGGAAGCAGATAAGAGGTAACTCATGGGTAAAGATTAGCGAGTCTCGATGATCATCATGTGGCTGTCCAAGTGCGATATGCACCATCCATGAGGTCAGGCTCCCCCTCACCCCAGCTTCCCTCCCCCAGCTCTCCCTTGTATTGCTTTGGACAGAGCAGCAGGAGAGAAAAGCTCTGGAAGGCTCTTTTCTCCTCTCCACAGCTTCACACTGTTTTGTTCTCTGTGCCCTCTAATCTCTTTGAGTGAGAGCAAAGCCTGCTTTAAGCTTTCTTAAGCTTGGTGCAGCTGGAAGAGAGATGTAGATTCCCCAGGAATATACATTTGTGGCTTGAATCCAGCTTTTCCATCAAGAAGAAATAAATTTCATTCACCTGACTCTAGGCCTGATATCAGCCCATAAAAGTAACAGGAAACTCTTTCTTTACTCATTTCTGCTGGGCCGGCACTGATTCCAGCTTCACCAAGGCTGTTCTTCCCACAAATGGGTGCAGCTATGACAATATAACCACACTGGCTCAGAATGGAGCGTCCAGCCTTATGCCTCTTCTGGTCCCATTTCCATGGCTGTTTTGTGGTGGATTTGCATAGGGTGAGATGGGTGCTTGTTTCTAAAGTCCCCCGTCAAATGGCTCAGCTGGTCCCCGAATGGAACTATCTGATGACTAAGGTCCCAGGAGAGCCTTGTGATGAAGCATCCAAGTGTGGAGGAAAACTGGTTCTTCAAGTCTGTGATCCAAGCTGTTTCAGACATTGTCTGGACCCCAGGAAGAAAGAAAAGCAGAGACAAAGCCAGAGGATCCCAGAGAAGATAGGATGAAAATCCAATCCAGGGTTATTGGAAGCCAAACACTATATCTACACATTACCTCCCACTGCCCCCAGTCAAACAGTCTAACTGGGTGTCCTTCTGACAGGAGTGTTGGGCCCATAACAGACACTTCCTGGGAGGTGGCAGCAAAGGGCTCTGGGAACCCTGCACCTGTGACAGCTGTGGAGCAGGTGATGGAGCATGACAACATTCACAGAGCCAGCAGCTCTGTCAGTTCACTGAAGTTCTGGGACAATGGGAATCAAGGTATGGGGTGCTATGTATGGGGCTAGGACCTTCCAGGAGAGACTTGGCTTTAAATGTGACCAGATGTGGTGCAGTGTGGGGTTGGCTCTGGGGGAGGAGATGGATGGGTGCATCTCATAAGGCCCCATTCTCCGTTCTACTGATCAATTCCTTGTTGGATATCTGACAGGAATACTTTGTTCCTGGCAGCAGAGAGCATGATGATGATGATGGCTCTGATGTCAGAGAAACCTGGGCTCCAGTCTTGCCCCAGATGTGACCTGCAGAAGGGTCACAGGCAAGTCTATAGTCCCATCTAAGCCTCAATTTCCTCATCTGTAAAGTGAGTCTTTTGATGATGGAGAGGCATAGGTGAAGGCCTGCTGTGTGTGCACTGCTGGCATGGAGCAGATGCTCCAGAGCTCAGAGCCACCAGTGCTGTGATGGTTGTTACTGTTACTGGTGCTCATTCTGAGAAGACAGGAGTTGGCCATAGGAAAGGAATAAATGAGCTTTCCCATAAAACACATGCCTGTAACCCTGACCTCTAGGCAAGACAAATGGAAATGTTTTGCAGAGATACCTAGAATCCCTTGGACTCCTAGGTATCTAAAATCACAATAACCCCAAAATGGCAACCTACTCTGCCCATGTGGACCTTGCCAGCCAATGGTATTGCCCAGTGTTAGTTAGCTTTCTATTACTGTAAAAAATACCTGATATAATCAACTCAGAAAGAGAAAATGTTTATTCTGACTCCTGGTTTCAGAGGTTCATAGGTTCATAGGTTCATAGGTTCACTTGGCCATTGCTTTTGGGCCTGTGGCAAGATAGTGCATCATGGCCACAGTGAGCATCATAGAAGACAGGAAGGAGCTAGAGTCCCAATATCCACGGCACAACCCCCAGTGACCTGACCACTCTCCACTAAGCCCTGCCCCCCAGAGGTTCTGCCACCTCCCCAAAGCACCATAGGCTGGGCCACACATGGGGTTTTGGCAGACATTCAACATCCAAACTGTGGCACACAGGCAAGATGGGGGAGGATCCTGCACAGAGCTTCAGCACTGCGTGTCACCCTGCTGCACAGCAGCTCTAGTGGCTGTGACCTCATTGGGAGCATCTCTGGCAAGGATGATCTCAGCAGTCCTCTTGGCAGCCTCCCCCTCTCCTATAGCTCAAACACATGTCATGTATTTCCCTGGCTGAAACGCAAGACGATCCCGCTCCTTCTGCTCTGGCTGATGAGTGGAAAAATGGATCCTTCTCTTTTACGTGCATTCTTGATATATTAGAAAACTGTCACTGCAACTCGCCATGTGACATTCACTCAAGGCCAAGCATCTCCATCCTTTTAAACTTTGCCCAGATGTCTTATTTTTCATGATAATCTCTCATTTCAATGATATTCTCCAGTATTTTCAGATTTTCTCTCAAAGCCTTGCTCTAATAGCCATCCTCTCATTTGTGTCCAAAATGCCATGCCAATTTAAATGATTAGCAAGAACACAAGGAAAGGGAAAATAAGATGTTTAGTGGCGTGGGAGGGGCCTGGAGAGAATGCTGCAGTCTATATGGGAGGCTGGGAAGCTTTCCCAGGGAGGAAGGAAGCTGGGGACGCCATTGTGAGTTTGGAGAGTTGAAGGAAAGAGTTGAGTGACAGACGCGAAGAGGTCTGGCCCATCCTCTTGGGTTTATCCCACATAGAGGTAAATATTTCAGCACGAGACAGGCTAGTCCCCCCTCATAAAGGAGTTTCTCTAAGGGGAACTCTTAGAAGCTGGGTCCTATCCCCAGAATGTCTGGCCTGGCAGCTTTAGGGTGGGGCCAGAGAGTCTGCATTTCTAGCAAGTTCCCAGGTGCTGCTGAAACTGCAGGTAGGGGCCTGCACTTTGAGAATCTGAGCATAGGACGGATGAGTACAGTTGTATATCACTTCTGTGGCCTTCCAGTGTTCCCAGGCTCAAGTTCTTGTCCTGTCTCTAAGGCCCTACAGGGTCCCTCCCCACCCTTTTCTGCCTGCTGGCCTCATTTTGATGGTGTCCCTGTGCCACATGTTTTCTCACTATGGGTGGGGGACTGTGGATGCTGCTGTGCTGCCTATGATGTCCACTTCCAGCTCTGTGTGTGAATAATTTTCATGTACATTTCAGAGCTCTCACAACTGTCCCTTCTTCAGAAAGGCCACAGCCCAAAGTGGTCCTGTCATCCATCCCCAAGGCACTGAAACCCCATTGCAGCATTTAATTTGGTCATAACCAAGTAATAGTTGTAACAACTACATGTGGGTTAGACTTCAACATGAATTTTGGAGTGGGGCAAGTCACAGTTCAACCCATAACACATGGCTGTCTCCAATTTGACTCTCTGAAGATTGCATGTATAAAGAAATAATTAAGATTACATGAGATTTAGGCTTAAATTCCTAATTTCATAAGCTTGGTGTCTATGTAAGAAGAAGAGACACCAGAGACCCTGTCTGTGCGCACACAGTGGAGGGGCTATGCAAGGACAAAGCAAGAGGTGACCATCTGTAAGGCAGGAAGAGAGACCTCACTAGAAGCCAACCCTGCTGACACATTGATCTTGGCTTCTAGCCTCCAGAACTGTGACAAAATAAAATTCTGTTGTTTAAACCACTTGCTGTATATTGTGAAGTCATAAATGCCAAAGGACACAAAACAGCCTATGAGAGCTTGCGTTAGGAAGGACCTCTGAATAGGGCATCAACCAAGATTGCCGCTGGTGGGAGCTGGCTCTTCCTCCTCACTGCATCCCAGTGCCCAGTGCTAAGCAAGACAGAGAGATGTGCCCAGTATAAAGCTGTCAGTGAGTTGAATGGAACTGACATTTGTGGAAACAGTTGGAACGTTGTACCTCTCCACATGCCATAGTGAAGCCATTCACAGCATGGACCCTGGAACCAGCCACTCTGATTTGGCATCCTGCCTCTGAATTTATGACCTTCAAAAGTCACTGAGCCTCTCCACTTCTAAAAACATAGAGCCATTTTAAGGTCCCTGGGAGCCAGTACATGTATAGCAAATCCACATGGGACCTGTTGGTATTACAGGGAAGGTGGAAGCTTGCTTAATTAAGCTCAGTTTTGCTAATGATTACAATTACACCTAAGACTGAGGATTACAAATAGGGCTTCTTTCACATGCTCGGCCTTGGCAGTGGCCCCTGAGAGCACAGGAGAGTTTGAAGGCTGAGTCTGGATGCTGGGAAGAAGATTTAGATGAGCCAGGCCAGCTGTGGAGTGAGTGCAGACTGTGGGGCCCAGGCCACCTGGCCATCCTCCTGGGATCCAGTGAAGGATAAATGGTCTCGGGAGAAGAGCAGAGAGACTGAGTGACCATCTTCATGTTGTAGAAAGTTGCAATGTATAGGATGGTGGCAACTTCTACAGTCTGCTAGAGCAAAGGGACCAAATGTGGTTTTGGGTAGGATGCTCAGAACTTGGCATCTACACACAGCCTCGCAGTGAGTGTTGTTAGATGTGAAGAGAAGGTCTGAGGAAGGTATATCGTCCACTTTTTCAGGATGGTCTCTGTCCCTTGTGCTGGGGGTTTAGAATGGGATATTGTGTCCTAGAATGACCTTGCCAAGACTAGATGGAAAGAGTCATTTCATAGAGGATTAGAAAA